ATCCGCGCCCTCAGCAAGGTCCTGTCCCGCCTCATGCTTGGCAGCCTCGCGCCACAGTATCCCACGGATATCCGCCGCCAGGTCCTCGAATAGAGCCTCGAAGGAAGCCAAAGCAGAGAAACCTGTATCATGACGCGAGGGAATGTCCCATTGATCAACAGGCTCTGAATCGCACTCCGTAGGGCGAAGCCATGACGTAGCAGCAACAGGATCCCAGCCTGTATCCATCAGCGTTGCCTGGACCGTGGCAATGGGCCCCCTCGCATGAGCCCAGCGCCGTGTCGCAGCCTTCTGCAGCCTCTTACGTATCAACGGCCAGGCACGAATAACTCGATCGTGGAGATCAGGATGTCGCAGCCGTAGCGCAACCCACTCACGTACAACCTGCAACGGGGTCTCCAACGCGGGGTCAGGTACCGCAGGGTCACATGCCAATGTAGTAGTTAGGCAGCGTCCTCTCGCTCGTCCTCCAACCATCTGACCAGCTTGTCGCCTCATACGCATCAAATCTGACTTGCTCATGCCAAAGACTTGATGGCCATACAGCGCCTGAGGGGCTGCACCAGTATTCCACAGCCCACGAGATATTCTCGCCAGCGCACCAATTCGCCTCAATCTGTGAATTTTGCCAACACGTCGCATGACACCCTTGATCCGCTTCTTAGCCTTCAGCACTGTGCGCTTCCGTCCAGCAGCCGCATCCAAGCCGAGGTCCACTGCCTCATTCACAGCCTGAACAGGGAAACCGCGAGCCCGCAGTGCACGAGCCGTCCGCTTGGTCACCGCAGGGTTTGAGCCAATAAGTACAGTCTTGTCCGAAATGACCATACGCTGTTCCTCGAGGCCCTCTTGGAGATCCATGGCGGTAGCTATCATGGCCTGTCCCACCGACGCACGACTACCTTCGCACCTGGCCGTGGTGTCATCCACAAACGTCCAGAGTCCCGACGCTGGGGACCGCCGATGAACGAACTCCAAAATAGGATGCAAAAACAATTTCGCCAGTCCCACACCACGTGGGGATCCCGCCACAACAGCACGTTCCTGCAGGTATCTGGGGGCCAAGAATTGTTGAACCTCCAGGGAAATCAGAGCCGCAGGGTAACCAACCTTCCTGGCAAGCCTCAGAAGCATGAGCAGGGAAACCGGATCATAGAACTTCTCAATGTCCAATAGCAGTGTGAGGGAGGTAACTCCCAGCTCCACTCCTGACTCATCCAAGCGCGCTCTGACCAGCCCAGCACGCAACGCCGAAGATCCACGAATGGCCGTGTCCCAGTGGTCCGAGAGCGCCTGCGACCACGTCTCACTGAGGGTAGCTCGACATTTGCTCCACAGTTTTGGGAGCAGCGCCGTCATGCCGAGGATGCGGTCTCCTCCACGAGGTTTCGCCGCAATAGCACAGCGTGTGACGGGGCACTGCCTAGGCCGCGCGCACTCACGTTCACACAGAGAGAGAATACGCAACACCTGCTCGCGCGCTGGGTCTGGCAATCGTCGTGCGTTACCTGGTGCAACCATATCAAAACCCAGCGCCTTCGCATCACTCGACTTATTCAGAACAGAATCCAACTGCGCAAGAGAAATCGGCTCCAGCTCCTCCTCAGCAGCTGGAGCCGAAAGGGTGGCGAGGTACTCCGTGAGCTGGCTCCGCGTGTCCGCAGGGTCCGTCCAGATGCCCTCCCAGTACCGCGCCTTGTACTCCATTACCGTGTCTGGGTCCGCAATCTGGTCGGCCGAGTTCGGAATCAGGACAACCGTGGGCGCAGGTGGCTCCTTGACATGGCGATGAAGGGCGCCAGGCTTGCGCGCCCACATCTCCTTGGCCCACAAGGTAAAGCTCCTTCGTTGCGTCGCAAAACCACGGGCCTGCGCCAAAGCATGGTACTTCTCAAAGCTGGTCAACACAGCCTTCACCTGCTGGACCTCGAGCGACCCCAAGCTGGCACCAAGTCCATAAGCCTCCTGGCGCTCCATCTCAAGAACCTTCTTGCCAAAGGTCTCATCCTGGGGCAACGCCTTCAGGATGCTCAGCTGGGCCTCCAAGTCCTTCAAGCACTTGCGTTGCTGACGAAAATCTGTGTGGTGGAGACGCAGCGCCAGGTACCTACCAACCAGAGTTGTGCACGCTCCCCAATGTTCAGCAGGCGCAAAACGCATGTGCGCCCGCCCAGGCGAGGGCCGCGCCTTCGTGGGCCGAGCGCCCAAGCCGCACGCCCTTCCAAGGTACACTTCACGCATGTCGTCCGTGACGTCACTGACCTCCAAGGTGGCGTGCTCCATCGCTGTGGCCCACTGCGCGTGCTCCAGAGTGACCTGGTCCACGGCCTGCCACTGCTGCGGGTTGCCATACGTGCGGTCGCCAACGGTCTGCTCCATCTCCTTCGTCAACTTCATCATAGCCCCAGCCTGCGCAGCCGAGGTACTCCTGTTCCATACCTCGAGTGGGATGAGGTGCAGGGCTGGTGTGGTCTCGACCTCCATGTGGTCCGTGAGCTCC